CCTGAGTCAGGACAGGTTCTACAAGGTCCTGACCCCAGAACAGAAGGCCAAGGCACTGAAGGGACAGTACAATTTCGACCACCCAGGTGCAGCTGAAGACCGGGAGGGGGGTGAGGGAGGAGGACAGACAAGGGGACTGGCTCCAGGGTTGGCGGGCGATGCAGAGAGACCCCAGTGGTTCCGTGAAATTTCTGAGGTAGCCTGAGCTGGAGCGGGCTGTGTGATTACGTCAGAAAGCACTTTGCCTCCTTCTCTGCGCCCTGAGCGGCCCTGCAGGAGCTGTTGGCTCCCTCCGTTGGAGCCAGTCAGGAAGTCTTTGCTGCGGAGGAGCCTTGGGGACCACTGCTCTGGCAGGACTGTGCTCATGGAGAAATCCCCCCACCTTCCTGCTGTTTGGGGTCCCCGCCTGCCCTGGGGCAAAGTCCTTGGGAGGCTAGCAGGGGAAGCAGTGGGTAAACAAGAGGGCCGTGTCTGGTCTGGTCTGATCGGGGGGCAGGTGCAAATGGGATAGACAGATGAGGGGAAAGAGCCAGCCTGCCCTTGCCTGGCACTGCTGGAAGGTTCCACCCTGTGGCTGGCTCCCACGTGGGAAGGAGGGGACACGTGGGAAGAAGGCCTGAGGAGCATCAGTCGGTGGTTATTTCCCAGAAATAGAAGCAGATGCCTAACCCACCTGTGTCCCAGTGCTGGCCGATCAGGAGATCCCTGGGGCCAAACTTCTGTGTGGGACAGCAGTCTGCAACTGTAAACTGTAGGGGCGGCCCCTAGTCCACATGTTCCTGGGCGGAGCTGTGGCTGCCCGCCCCCAAGGCAAAGGAAGTTCACTCCCATCCCCAGCACGAGGACACCTGGATAGTCTTGCCTTCTGTTCCATTCCTGCAGATGCTTTTGATAACGATTTGATGCACAGGACTCTAAAAAACATCGTGGAGGGCAAAACTGTCGAGGTCCCAACCTATGATTTTGTGACCCATTCAAGGTGAGCAAGGTGGTTCCTGGGAGAGGGACCGTGTGCGGGGGGCCAGCTAGCATGTGCCCTGCAGCAGCCTGGCCCTGTTGGTGTCTGGGCACACCCCTGTCCCCTGCTGTGATCTGTCCCCCTCCTCACGGTCCACACCTGGGGACCGGAGCCAACTGTGCTCCGGGCCCCCAGATCCCGTAGCTCCAGCGGGGTCCGTCTCCTGGTCTCGCCTCCCAGGTTAGCAGAGACCACGGTAGTCTACCCTGCAGACGTGGTCCTGTTCGAGGGCATCCTGGTGTTCTATAGCCAGGAGGTCCGGGACATGTTCCACCTGCGCCTCTTTGTGGACACGGACTCCGACGTCAGGCTGTCAAGAAGAGGTAAGGTGGACTCAGGCCTCCCTCTGCCCTTGGCCGAGGGCGGCCGCGAGTCCTGACTGCCTTGCTCCTCCCGCCTCAGTTCTCCGGGACGTGCACCGCGGGAGGGACCTGGAGCAGATCCTGACCCAGTACACCACCTTCGTCAAACCAGCCTTCGAGGAGTTCTGCCTGCCGGTACCCCTTTTGCTTACTTGGGGACCTCCTTTTCTCCCTTTTCAAGAGGACCCTTGGCACCCTGTCCTGTGAGAGCCGAATCGTGGAGCAGTGGGGTCTGATTTCTGAACAGAGAAGTTAGCTTATCATACCCCCTCGCAGGGACTCGTTGTCTGCTCTAAAAGCATTGTCTGTGCACATCCCTTCCTCTGCCTGGAAAAGCCCCTCGGCCCCCACGTCCACGCAGCTCCCCTCCTCCCTGCTTCAGGCCTTTCCCCACGGCACCTGCGTGGCCCGCCCAGGGTCACCCCGAGGACCCTCTGCTCCTGGCCCGCCTGCTTTCCGTTCTCCAGGGTGCCTCTGGCTGGCTGAACTCGCTGTGCCTTGCTTGCCGCCCTCGGAATAGGGAGCTGCACAGGGGCAGGGGCTCGTGTCCGTCCCTGGCCCACACCCCGACTCACGCAGGCGCGGCGCAGGCACTTGCTGACCCCCCACACCATCTGTTCCTCCAGGCTGTCCTTGCCTGGGACTCGGGGGTCTGCGGCCGTGTGTCTTGCCCTCCACTTTCCAGCTCTTACAGGATAGGACTTACAGGTGGTTTGAAAGGGAAACTTAACATGTTGCTTCTTAAAAGTAAAATACAGCACAAAGGAAATGGAGCCAGGATCCCCGCTTCTGTTGAGTAGACACGTGAGTGCGATCTGCTGCAGTTGGAAGAGAACGTTTTTTATTTTACATTTCATGTTCTCCGAAGCGTCTGGAAAGCGATGAGAAAAGTAAATTGATAATTGTACTCTCTCTGTTATTCATGGAAAGAAAGACATCTGGCAGAGCAGGTGGTTTACGGTAAAACTCGGGACACCCAGTCCCACCGGGTGACCCTGTGTGGAGCCTGCGCCCCAGCACTGTCCTTGAACTTCCCGATCCCTTTACGTGCAGCCACACACCGAGTCCGGCCAGGGTGACCGTGTTCCTCCCTGGTCCCTGAAGTGTACGACCTTCCTCAACTCTCCTGCCCCTCGCCGACCCCTCTCTGCACCCCACCGGCGAGCACCGCCCATGAAGCCAGCCTGGCCATCTTGTGCTCGTGGCTTCCGTGGGTCCCCACTGCGTGCAGACACAGCTGCCCCAGGATCTGGCCCATGTCCACACGCCCGCCACACGGACTGGTCCGCGGGTCTGTCCCTCAGCTCAGACCGCTTCCTTTTCCTCTCCTCCTGCTTGGCCTCATTGAGGCGTGTCCCCCTCAGCAACATCTGGCTGGGGTCCCCCCTCGGCGGCCCTGTTCCTCCTGGTGTCTCTATCCCTGCCCTTAACTGGCAGCGCCGCGCGGGGGCAGGAGGTGCAGAGGGCTTTGCACGCGCCGTCCGGGGAGTATGCCGCGACCCGGCCTGCTCCCTGCTCCGGGCTTCCCGCAGAAAGGGTCCTAGTTCGGGGAAAGAGGGTCACATGTGACGACGGATGCCGCAGGTCACTTGGCTCAGTGAAGTGTTAGCACAGAGAACTGTTCCCACAGCGGCCTTCCCAGGAAAGCGCAAGCGCATTTCAGAGACGCCAGGGGAGAAACACGTGTCTTCTGGCTGCCTCAGCTTCTCCTCCTGCCTCTCGCACCTGCCTAACACTTGAGTCCCGGCCCCCCGTCTGCCACCACACCGGTCCCTGCCACCCCCAGGGCTGCTGTCCTGCCGTGGAGTCTCGTGTCCAACAACCAGAAGTCCCGGGGGAAGGGTGGGGGCAGATCATCTGAGATCCTGCTTTTTGCCTTGCAGACCAAGAAGTATGCGGACGTGATCATCCCTCGAGGGGTCGACAACATGGGTAAGAACTGGGCCTGTCGCTGCCCCGACTCCTCAGTCCGCCTCCTGGGGCCCGGTCCTGGCGGTTACGCTGAGTGATGAGGGTTTGCCGTCCGCGTCCGCTCATGGCAAGGTCCAAAGAATATTTTAAAAATGTTTAACACGTTGGACAGCTTAAATGGACCAGGTTACGGGTCAGTGAGGCTGGAGAAGGAGACTTACGTTGACAGGGACTCGCTCGTTAGCAGGAAGTGTCTTCCCCGGGTTCTTGGTGAGCAGAAAGGGCCGCGGACCAGGCTGGGCCGTTCTACTGTGCGCCCTCCCTGACCCACGGTATTCTGTCTGCCGAGGCCCGGCGAAGCCTCGGCGGGAGGGCCTGCGTTCCGGCCCCGAGCCGCTGCGGGACGGGGTGGCCCAGGGAGCCAGCAGCAGATGGAGCCTGGCCTCGAGGCGTCCAGGGGGAACCAGACGGGATGAGTGCATGCTGTCTTTGCCACAGTGGCCATCAACCTGATCGTGCAGCACATCCAGGACATCCTGAGCGGCGACCTCTGCAAATGGCACCGAGGGTCCAATGGGCGGAGCTACAAGAGGACATTTCCTGAGCCGGGAGACCATCCCGGGGTGCTGACCTCTGGCAAGCGATCGCACTTGGAGTCCAGCAGCAGACCCCACTGAGGAGCAGGGTGCTTAGCCTCCTGGGCAGGACCCCCGACAGACTGTGTTCAGGGTCGGGCCCAGAGATGCCCACCCGCCCCTGTGAACACCACCGCTGCTTCCTCTGGGCGCTGTACGGACGGGATGGGATGGGGATCACTGCACCTGTTACACTCAACCGGATGTTGGCACGCCCTCCCGACGTTGGTACCTGCTTCGTCACGTTAGAGGGTTAAAAGTCTGAGTTACTGAGAAATGCCCCAGAACGTGTGGTGAGCCAGTCACGTCTCTTGGGGACGCGGAGCACGCGGCCTGGGTGTGGTGGCCGTCCCAGCATGTGCTTGACAGGAACCCACAGCGAGAGCGACTCTCCCAGGACGACCCAGTTCCCACACACATGCGACTGAAACAGAGGTTTGAGGAGAGTACGTCCCCTTTCTGTGTGTTACACGTGCGAACGTTCTGTCATTCTCCCACGTGAGTGGTGACCCAGTAAGCGAGTTTCGTGCCCCGCCGGTGGGTGCGATCCAGCACAGCACACCCGCGTGTACGGAGCCACAGAGAGCTTTCCTTCCTCCTGGGCCGTGCGCCAGGGAAGGAGCCCCCGCAACGAGCCTTTCCTCAACCAGCAGCAGACACAGGCGGCAGCACCTGCCCGCCCAGGCCAAGCCCGGCTCCGCGGCTGGGGCGGAAGGCAGGCTGGCGCACGCCACGTGCCCTGGGTCCTGGGCGCCGTGTGCACAGGGCCCAGCGCCCGACGCCAGCCAGTCTCCTTGCACACACCCAGCATCCCCGGCTGCACGCACGATGCCTGCAACCGGTGTCGTCCTCGTTTTGTCTTCCCTCCCACGAGACCCTGTTTGTGTCGAAATGACGCTTTCTCCTTGCCGCCGTCCAAGCCGCGCGGGCACCCGCCGTCTCCTGCCATCGGGCCCCGAGTCTAGTTACACAGCTGGGACCTCACGAGCGCATAGCCACAGCTGCTTTCTGATGGCCATGTGACAGTCTCATCAGCTTACTGTGCCCTTTGGAGAATCAATAAATAACACCAAATACCAGTGCCAACATGTCCCTGTTTTAATTGTACACAGAGGGCAGATTCGGGACGGGGTTACGTGTGGGTGACACGAGTCTCAACCTGCTGGGGCTGCTGGCTCGTCTGCCCCCACCGCGTCAGCAGCGGCGAGGGGTCCCGGGGTCTTCACTGCGGTGATGAGAATCAAGGGCCTGTCATTTGGTAGCTTATTTGGCGCTGACGTGATGCAGGCCGGTTCCTCGAGGCCTCACCAGGGACGTGGCTCCCCAGGTCAGCGGGCGCTCGGGAGAGGGGACCAGGGCCTTGGCTGCTTCGTCCCTAACTCACCCCATCACTGCCTGCTCCCCTCCTGCTCTTGCCCCATTGCGAGGCCTGCCCTAGCCACTCAGCATGTCCTAGTTCGGGGGCCCTCGGGCGCCAGGGGACACTCAGGGCATGTTCTCTATTGCCTGGAAAACACAAACTTGGCTCAAAACAAACTGCTTATCAGCGACTGTCTGAAGAAAAAGCCCAGCAGGCTGGCCAGGCGGCCAAGCTTCAGGCTACTCTGTCAAAGACAAACACGGTTCGAGATAACCGCGCTTCCTGCCCTGACCCCGGCCCAAACGTTCACTGTGTGTGTCCTGCTAGTATTTTCGGATCAAAATGTCCCAGCTGTCTTTCCAGCGAAGGGCCTTGAGTTCGCTGGGCGAGAGTGACCTGTCCCCGTAGGTGAGCGGGCGCAGCGTGTTGAACACGTGACAGGCGCAGGAGTACCAGGCCACAACCAGGCCGCTGAAGAGGCTCCTCAGAAGCGGGGACCTGCGGGGACCGGAGCACAGGCATGGGGGACGAGGCTCTTCCTTGCTGTCATGAGCACATGGCCCCCTCACACCCTGCCCAGGCGCCGAACGGGACCCCCCGTGCATCTTCCAGACTCTCCCATCTACACTGGCACCAGGGCAGCATCCCCACACCCAGCATGATGGGACCACAGCTCTTCTGAGAGGCTGTGCGGCTCCTCCCAAAATACCAGGTCCACACCCTCTGGTCCCGCTTTCCGAACTCGCTCTGGTTCATCTCCACTGCACACCATGCGACCCGGCCCACACCACTGGCTGTTCTGGAGCCAGAAGCGTCCTTCCCCGTCTCCCACACCCACACTTCTCCCGGCCTCCCCGGCCAGCCACACCTCCCTCCTGGGGCGCCTGTTAACCCCTCCCACGGCACACCCAAGTCCTCACGACACCCCCAGACCTGGAGCCCCGGGAGGCGTGGCTGCGGAGGCCCTGTACCTGCACAGGTGGTCGCTGATGTGCTGCAGGACCACGGGGAGCAGGAGGATCTGGAAGGTGAGCGCGGGAAGGTAGTGGTAGAGGAAGAGCGTCTTCTCCATCAGGAAGAAGGGGAGATAGTTCACCGCCCAGCCGCCGGCGCACAGAGCCCCGGCCAGCACCCAGCGCAGCCAGGAATCTGGGGTGGGGTGGGGGGAAGGCCGCCCTGAGCCAGCGCTGCTGACCCGGGCCTCACGTGTAAGGCTCTCCCCCAGTCCCACGAGCTGCTTTCCTCATCTTTAAGGAACACACGCTCTCCCCTTCCCCCACTGCCCGACCCTTGCCGTGATCTCTGGAGAAAGAACGACGTCCTAAGAACCTCCTGTAGCCTCCTGCAGGGTCCTCACCATCCCGACCCTCTGAGCCATACCAGCGCCCCCCGGGGCCCCCGGCTCCTCCTCCGGGATCAGCAGCAAGTGGGCCGGCCTCCTGGGAGCCCGAGCTCCGAGGGACTGTATTGGGCCCCCGGCCTGCCCACAGGGGCAGCGTCAGCAGGAAGAGTGGGACGGGGCCACACTGCTGAGGCCTTCGGGGCCCCGCCCTGCCCTGGGTCTTTATTCGTCTGTTTCAAGGTGGTCCGCAGTGGTTTCTGTTCTGCAAACAGCAGCACCGGAGTAACTGGGTGCCTGCTGGCCACTCTGTGCCACCCAGCCACCCCGTGCTCACGTCCTGGGGTGAGGGCTTTGCCTGCCTGGTGCCTGCATTTCCCTGGACAAGCGTCTAACCCAATGTGGGAACTCAACGGCAAGACTTCGTCTCTAGGGAGACAAAAAATAGATTTAAGCTCGCTCCCAACAGAAACAAGGAGGTCGCCTTAAGGCACAGGTTCCTGGTGAGGCCAGGCTGTTGCCGGAAGCACCACAAGCCCTTGTCAGAAGCTGCACTAACCTTCAGGGAGGTCACGGATACTCCTTCGACGTCTAAGCAAGTACCACAAGAAGAGGAGAGCGTAGACCAGCGTGGCGAGGCTGGCCGAAGCCCAGATCACGACGTTCCCAAGCAGGTGGATCTGAGCCTGTGAGGGCACAGGGGACCCCGTCAGCCACCGGCCGCGTGCCCGCCAGCCTGCAGCCCAAACGGGCTGGAACCCGTTTTCCTGGAGCCACTGCTCCGGGAAAAGGGCTGAGTAGGGTCCTTGGTTCTACAAACGGAAACGCAACCCGGAGAGGCCGACGTTCTTGCTTTAACGACAGCCACCCACTGAGGATGAACCTCTCCCCTCACATCTGATGCGCGTACTGGCCCCGTGCTGCCCAATCTCATCAGGAAGGGCCCGGACCAAGCTAGGGCTGGGTAGGAGGTGGCGGCTGCTCTTCACGCCAGAGAAGTCTCGAGGAAGCGCTCCGCCTGCCGCCCACACGAGCGCCTGCTTACACTGGTCCTGGGGTGCAGCCAGTAGGCGATGCTGGTGTCCAGGGTGATCCAGTCCAGCGGCGAGGAGCTGTACTTGTGCTCTGAGTCGTCGCTCCTCACCGTCAGCATCCTCCACTGCAAGAAGGCCAGAGGCTGGAGTCGAGCACACAGCCAGACACCGTCCTCGCTCAGGGGCCTGAGGGGCTGGGGTGTCCCCTTCACGTTCATCTGGACCATGCAGCACAGGCGGGGACAGGGACCCCACCCCAGGGCCCCCGTGCCCCTGTCTGCAGGGGGAAGGGATTGAACTTGATGCTAAGGACGCTTTTAAGTTCGGGACCCCGAGTTTCCTGTTCTGACCTCTCTAGGGCTCCATCACGTTGACCTTGGCACACTCTGACCTGACCTGGGGGGCTCCAAGCATATTCTGGCCACGCGACAAGTCTACACTGCCTGGTTCCTGACCACTCCTGCCCGCAAAGCCACAGGCCCGGGGCTGACCGTGCGGCGTCGGCCACTCAGAGCAGACAGAGAGGAACGTCCCCTGCTCAGCCAGGTCCCAGTTAAAGCTGACGACGGGAAGGGAACTGCTGTCTGGTGGGGAGCCAGCACCCTCAGGCAGAGCCATGCCGCCCCCGCCGGTCACCTGCAGCTCCAAGAACCTGGCCATGAAGCTCAGGTTTCTGCTGACGTCCATCTGCGCGGGTGAGTGCAGCTCGAGCTCCCTCTCCTTCTGCTCCTGGCCTGACAGGACACACGGACCCAAGGGAACACGCGCAGGTCAGGGGGCTCACCACAGAAGCTGTCAGCTTGGAGAAACGCCCACATCCCGCTTTTCAAACAACCCACTGTGTCGTCGCTCCATCTGGCTTTCCCCACCAGCCGCGATTAGCCCCGGTCAAATCCAGATCTTTCCACTCAGAAAGCTCAGCTTGCACCGCCTTTGGGCGGAACCTCAGAGCACAGCTGGCTCGTCTAGGGCTCGGCTCAGCAGAGTGCGTGGACGGCGCGTCCAGTCCCCGCGTGAAGCAAGAGCCTGTGGCTCGTGAAAGCGGCAGCAACGGAAGCCAAGGGCCTGACTCACTTTTGCCGTATCGGTGCTCCTCCACGTTCCACACCATGCTCTCGTGGTAGCCGCGGGACAGCTTCTCCCCAACGACCTCCAGCTGTCGGAACCCCCAGTCCGGGAGGTGGGCCCCGCTCAGCTAGTGAAACCGGGGGAGACGGGGCGTGATGCGGAGGCCCGGGGCCCCGGCTCACCCCCACCGGCCCCGCCACCCGGTCCCTCTGTCCGCAGCCGACAAGGGCGGCAGCCGGTCCTCCACGGGCCCGCCACTCAGGATCCAGTCTGAGAAGCTGGAGCCCTCACCCTTCCGTGTAAGGGAAACACGGCAAAGGCTTTCACCGGATGTCCTGCCCGCGAAGAACCCGCTGAGCCCAGAGGGTCCAGTAAACCGATGTCGTGAGCCCCCAGCCAGGATGGGCGAGCAAAACACGGCGCCCCTTTACCTTCAGAACCGCGGAGGTGTTCACGTGCATCAGGCGAATCTCTGACAAGATGGTCTTCCAAACCTCCGTGTCGGATTCTCGGTTTACGATGTCCTGTTAAAAGCAGGTCCTATTGATGATCTTGTTCTCTCCCCAATTTCCTGACAGGTCAAGTGAGGACCGGTCACCAAACAACGACACTGTCTGAGACCAGGGACCGAGCTCCGGGGAGCTAACAGGCTAGCGCCCCTGACCTTGTTCCCGACACCCACGCAGCAAGCTGCTGGCTGGGCAGGGGAGCACACCACCCTCCTTCAGAGTCGAGAGGCCTCCGCGCTTGGCCTTCTCTCTCTGGCAAATGCAGAGATGGTCCAGGTGAGGGTTACAGAAGGTCCCTGGGAGGTGTCCTGGGTGGCCCGGCTGAACATCGTGAGCGCACTTGGCCTTGTCTTATCTTATCGCAGCCCCACGATGACCCGTGAGGGCGTGTGGCTGTTGGCGGGAGCCAGGAGACCCAAGGGCTCCGTGGGAGCAGGGGGGAGGCTGGGCCGACAGGTACAGCCTGCGTCAGCCATCCTCCCTCCTTGCTCCGTGAGCTGCAGTCCCTGGAAATGTGCGCGTGTGGGGGTGAAGATGCCACCGGCAGGGACAGAGCAGGACGAGGATCGGCAGGCCGTCAGCAGGGTGGGAGAAGGACAGCCTCGGGAGGAGTTCCACTGGGAGAGCTCCCGGGGACGGGGCCTGGGTGGAGAGCACGCCCACCCCGCGGCAACAGCGAGGAGAGGGGGGGAGAAGCAGAACGGACACGTGCGTGAGCACCGAGGCGGCGGCGGCGGGGGGG